CAAAATTTAACATTACATGTAGCTATTCAGTCAACGGAATAAGAATTTTACATACATTTTATTCTTGCTGATCACATAACCGATGAATTGTTCTTATTACGGAATCGCGGAAATGTAACAGATTAAAAGCATTCTATTCCCTAAACATATGAGATATAGAAAAAAAATTTGGCTACTTATTTTAAGAAAATTCGTAAAAAACAAGTATAAATAATTTTCTATGTATAATTGATGTTACAGAGAAAATTTTAATTAACGGCGAAATTCGTTGCACTTTTTAAGCTAGGCAGATTACGACTTCAATCATAAGACTTGCAATTACTTCAACTAAAACTTTCAATGTTCATTTAAAGTTTTTTATCTTCGTGTCAATCAATATTAATTTTTAGAAAAAAGCCACGGGAATGTTATAGTGATTGCACATTGAAAGTTACAATGAATTTTATCTAGAATAATCACATGGATAAAAGATACAGGCCAATTTAATGGAAGTTTGAATCTGTACAAGTCAAAACAATACTCCAATTAAATTTCAAGTCTAGATCTAAAAATACAATTCTATGAAGCGCCCAGCGGAGCGGGCACGTAACAGCTAGTGATATAATATTTAAAGAATGTTATTTACGATTAATAAATGTACAGAAAATATAATACATATATTTAAATATACATTAATTACTAACAGTACAGATAATACAACTAGTATCGTTTTAAAAGATCAACACAAAAATTAATTATAAATATAATACATAATAATAAAAATATCAGCAATATAGTACTCGAACATTTTTTAATTAACTCTGATTGGTCCATCGTCAATTGACAATTCATGTAATTTGCCATCGTCGCCATCATCTGAAACACATTTGTTTATGGTTAAAAAATTAATATACTTCAGGAATGAAATGTTAAATCAATGTAACAAATTAAAAAAATTTTTTCAAAAATTTTTTCGAAAATTCAAAAGTGCACGCCTCATAATCTCATTTTTCATAATAAAATCTATTAAAATAAAATGTAAATACTTTTAAATCTTTCGCGCCATTGTTCACCCAGAAGAGAAAGGTACTGCCCATGTATTGTAAATGAACCTTATTTACATAGATATAGACATACAAACGGTTATTGGATTTTTAGTTTATTGCTAATTATAAATAAACTACATTGAATTAAACCGCGATCTTCGAAAGGGCTTAGTTTTAAATCATACTGAAGCCTATAAAAAATAAATGGACTTGATTAGTTAAGTTTTTCGGCAGTTATCGTGATCACGCTGGTTTCCAAACATTCATTTGACAGCCGGATGTTCACGGAATAATTATTTAAAACATTTTTTTTATTTATTTAAAAAGCAAAATGTGTTTTAAAAATTTCATAAGTATTGAAAGTAGGGTTTTTCCGTGATATTTATATGTGAATATTGTTCTACAAAAGAGATAGAAAATAAATAGAGACAATTTTAGTTCAAGAAATCGCTTGATTGTTACAAGGCGAGTGTAGAGCACAACCTCATCCGCTTTGCTTTATGAGGCATGCAATATTTTTATGACTTAACATTTTAAGTTTTTCATGTACTTATATATATTATATATTTACATTGAGGTGCTTCTAACATTAATAAGATAATTTCTTTCATTTTTGGTTCTATTGCGTTTTTAATGTAATAATTTAATGAAACTTTTCCTTCTTTTCGTAATTCCATAAGTTTTGAAATTCTTTTGTCAATTTTAATGTAAGAATTTTTTTTATACAATTCAAAGTTGTAACCTTTTTCCATTTTTAAATACATGTCCTCTGACTTATCACAAATTGCCCTGACTCGCTCTGTTAAAATATTAATTCAATATTATTATTGCTTCTTTAAAATATTATACCAAATAAAATTTTAAAAATATATTTGCTCAATGTTTTTTCATTTAAACATTCTAAATTAAAGTAGTTATAGTAGTTTATTTGAGAAATTTAAATATTTAAATTCATAGAATTAAAAAAAAAAAATACATTTAAAACGAAGTAATAAAATGGGGTTTAAGACAATACAAGGTGTAAGGCAGGGATATCCACTGAGCCCCCTGTTCTTCAATATCTTTTTGTACGACATTAATTATGAATTCAGCAAAAAAAAAGTTGAAGGGCTAATATCCTTGGGTAGTGTGCAGATGACATCGCAGCAATCGCTCCAAACGAAGCAAGCGTTCAAAAAATACTGAAAATCCTGGAAAGATACGAAACTAAAAACTCACTCAAAGTAAATACAAAGAAGACTAATGGTAGGCGACAAAAAAAGTAGCTCCACAACTAAATGGACATACGGGAAAGTCATCCTGGAAGAAGTGAAAGATTTTAAATACCTGGGTTGTTGGCTCTCCAGCTGTAACATCTGGAGAAGACACACCAAGGAGATGGCAGGCAAAGCTAAGAAAGTGCTGAATGTAACTCCAGGTTTCATAGAGCGAACAAGCAGAAATACCTTTAAAGAGAGAATGTACGTTTACAATTCTTTTATAAAATCCGGGACTCTCTACGGAGTAGAGATATAGGGCTGGGAAGGTAGCAAGGAGATTCAAGTGGTATACAGTAGGTATTGTAAAACAGAGTTGGGTTTGTCAAAAAATACCTCCGAGTATATTTGGACATGCGAAGGCGGGTTAGAAAGCCTGAAACTAAAGATTAGAAGAAAAGAGTTAGCAGATATCTTCTCCTTAGCAGACGTGCTGAGGATGGATGAAGGCAGATGACCAAAAGTTGCACTCAGATAAGAGTGCAGAGTCATTCTGAACGGCAATCCTTTCAAGAGGGAGATCAATCTAGTCAAAGGTTTGGAGGAAATATTGCTTAAACAGAAAAAAAACGAGCTGGATAAAAACAACTTGGTGTTTTTATGCCAAGGAGAAAACGAAACCCTCGAACACATATTTAGATACAGTAAGGTAATAAACAAAGCCCAAGCAGAGATGATAGAATTCATTATAAATTGACCCGGAAATAGAAATGGGGCCGATTTTGACCGGCTGATAGTGCAGACCGATTAAAGAAATTTGTCAGTTCCTTAGAAAATTCATCCGGCTATCCAAGAAGAGAGGGAAATGGTTAAAAGATGCTGAGCATACGACAGTGCTCGCAGATGATGATGACGTCCAACAAATGGCAGCCAAAGATTAACATATTTTTTTTTTCTATTTTTTTCATTTCATCTTTTGTTTCCAATCACTTCGAAGAAGTGCTTTTTTATATTTTATTTATTTTTTTTTATTGATAAGCATGTCATGAAATTTTATATACATAGGTATAAGTGAATTATTTAAATGATAGTTGGTATGAGCAGCTAAGAATTCGAAATTCACTAGCTACTAAGCAAATTATAATGAAAAATTATAAAAGGTAGTTATTTTCTACTGAACAAAGAACCAATAAATCCATCTATCATTTAAAACGATGGGAAATTATTTACAATCAACATTAACATTTATATTTTTTAATAAATTACAACTCACTCACCTGAAAATTGAAAAATATTTGGAGACAACGATCCTAGTTTACTTCCAATATGTCGATCAAAGTATTCCGAAATATTTATTGAATTATTTACATTTTCAGAACAAGAGATAAATTCAGCCAAAGGCTGCCACCATAAACGCAGAAATTTTGTGAATTGTTGTAGTCCATTAATATCGTTTGAATATTTTTCAGTGTTATCATTAATTATTACTTCAATTTGTTCAATGGCATTCTCAAATTCAGTAGCTAGCAATGTCGGAATTGCAAAACTGTACTGCAAAATTTCATGATTCAAGTTTGTCAAATTGAAAGTTTTCCACTTTCTGGTCAATATCTGTAAACAAAATAAAATATAAAAATTAGTTATGAAGTATATAATTCACTTTCAAATGCCACAATGTATCTGAAGTATTGTACAGTACGAATTTCATATCAATTACATACTCTAATATAGTTAAACCAACACCCTTTCATTTCAACTCCTTTAAGGACTTCTTTTGTCGCACTGATCAATGGTATGTAACAATCACTTACAACAATTTTTAAGTTTATACGAATATTTGGTAGGTACCTAAGCAGTTCTTGTCAAATTTTTACGTATAAAGCTCTACTAGTAGAATTTAGTACAATAAATAAACTTGGAATTCCCTATAATGTGTTAAAAATTGAAAATTAAAATAGTTTTTAATGTCTTTTGAAATATACACTAAAAAAATTGAATAAATTTCCGAATTTTGAAAAGGATTTTTTAATTAAGAAAGTGTAAATTTATAAAAAAAAAAAATAAGATGCGATTATGTAGTAGCTAAACAATCTTTAATTTAAAAAGTTATAACTTCCTACTCTGATATTTAAATTTTACAAAATTATTAAAAAAAATTTTAAATAATTACTATATCGTTTTTTCTTATATGAAAGATCATTAACTGGGAATGATTTAAATCACTTAACTGGACCTGTAAAATAATCAATGTTTATTACGTTACTTAAAAAATGATGAAAGCAAAAAAAATTATTACAATTTTTTGGATTTTTAACAAGCAGTATTTAAGTTGAAGTAAATATTTTATAAAAAAGTTTAACTAGAAATATTTGTGTTATACCTTAAATGTTGTATGTAAATAAATTTCATTAGCACTTCCAATCTTACTAAACATCACTTTAGTTGAAAATAAACATGCTACAGAATCATCTTCTGCCTCTACTTGAATTCTAAAAATGTTATTGATTGTAGGATAATTTTTTATTGTTCATTCAAAATCTTTCAATGATTTTGAAATATTCAATTCAGATGATTTTATTTTTTTTGAGATCGAAAATTTATTGGCGTTTTTTCTTTTATCTTCTAATTGAGAGCTATATGAAAATAAATAAAAATAAACAAATTATTTTCTTTAAAATTGAAAAAAAAAATTAAACAATAAAAAAAATTTTTAATAGATAATTAAAAAAAAAGTACTCATAAAAAAAATCTTATTTTTTTTTTAATTTTCGAGGTTTTTCCAAGGAATTTTAATGCTAAAAAATTACCGATACCGATGTCAGAATATTAGTAGGTACTTAAATGAGGTGATTGGCCGTATAAACTTTGAAAAAATAAGACAAAGACGTTGACAAATCTTCTAATCTATAGGGAAGCTAAAAGTTTATGTGGAAATACTATAGTATCAAAAATATTATAACTCATAACGTTAAGGTTTGATATAGACCTGGAGTACACCTATAAAAACTCTTGATGATGATATAGAAGTTAACCATGACCTGTCAAAAGCTAAAAATGACACTTCTTCAAAAAAATCTGCTCCTAGTAATAGTGGGAGTAAAGTAATCAATTTCTGTAATTATCTAAGACAAAATGACATTTTTTTGACCTGTGAACATTTTTTAGTTTAATTGTAAGTGAACTTTTATTTCGTACGCAGTTTTGATTAATCATTCATTTTTTCAGATGTTCAGATGAATTCAAATGAAGCTACAGTTTCTACCGCATCGAAAAAAGATGTTGGGTAAGTTTTGTTTAAAAAAAGTATATTTAACTTGATATCATATGAATACATTATATGATTTTATATGATATATCTTTAATAATAAATAAATTTAAATATTTTAGTTTTTATAAATAAAAAAATTATTAATTTATTTTTTAATTTCTCTAGAATGAAAAGAAAGAGACCTGTAAAGTCAGATGTTTGGAATTTTTTCATTAAAAATGAGAAAGATGGAACCTGCAAGTTATGTCTAAAACTTATTTCCGCTCCAGGATGTACCACCAACCTGACAAATCATTTGAAAGGAGTTCATGGGAATGTGTACAAACCCTCTACTCCTTCGGTCATTGATAATGCAGTACGACCAGTGATTGTATTTAAATTATTAGCTTCAACTTTTTTTTAGAATTCAATTAAATCGATATATTTTTTAATTTGTTTAGATGAAAGTTCAATCCACAGAAAAAAAACTAACTCAACTACGTATCGACACAATTAAGGATGAAATAAATTCATGTAAGAGTGAGTATTCACTTAAAAATGATTCTATAGCATTTAAGTTGGTATTTATAAATTTATCTATTAAAACATTCAAAAATTGGTGTTACAGGTGGTCCTAAAAGTGAAAAAATTTCAAATGCGCTAATATATATGATCGTTAAGGATGATTTACCACTGTCTGCTACTGATAAGCCAGGACTACAGAAGCTGTTACAGATTGAGTGTCTTTATTACGAAATTCCTGGAAGAAACAAAATAACAACCTTAATTGAACACAAAGCTGAAGCTTTGAAATTACTTTTTCAAGAAAAGTTGAGCAAAATAGAATGCTTTTCTTTAATCGCTGATGTTTGGACTGATACCCATAACTCGCGAAGTTTCTTAGGATGCACAGCACACTATCACTTTGAGGGTAAATTATCAGAAGCAGTACTAGGTGTTAAGGAACTGCAAGAAAGACATACAGCAGAAAATATAGCGAAAGCATTAAAATCTATGCTTGAAGCATGGAAAATTGATATAAAAAAAGTAGTTGCAGTAGTTACTGATAATGGAAGTAACATGGTAAAAGCGGTGAACGACTTATTTGGCTCTGCTAAAGGTGTTAGATGTTTTGCTCATTCACTAAACCTTGTTATGCAGGAATTAATAGATAAGTCTCCAGAAATTACTGAAATAGTAAATAAAGTTAAAAAAATAGTAACTTTCTTTAAAAGCCCCACAGCAGCTGCTGAACTGAAAAAAATTCAAGCCGATGCGGAGCAAACTTTGCGACTTATTCAGAATGTACCAACGAGATGGAATTCTACTTTTTACATGCTAGATCGTTTCCTTAATATTATTGATTACGTGGTTTCATTATTAATTAAGTTAGATCATGCGCCACCTTGTCTAACTGGTCAAGAAATTCTCTCTTTAATCGAATTAGTAAACATCTTGCGTCCAGCTGAAATTGTGACTAAAAACTTGAGTGGGGAAAAGTATGTCACAATTAGTGATGATATATTTTGTTATTATTTTATAATAAATGAAGTAAAAAAAGTCGAATGCAGATCAGAAACAATAAAAACTGCAAGAAGTTATTTAATTGAACGAATGAGACTTCGATTTAAAGGTTTGGAGTCTCACTCGCTAATCTTTGTTGCTGGGATACTTGATCCTCGTTACAAAAATTCGATATTTCCTAATGATGATGCAGCATATCAAGCCAGAAAAAAAGTCATTGATTTGATACAAAAAAGAACTCCGATTCATCAAGAAAGTACACCAACTAATTCACTAAAACCTACTGAAAAAAAAAAATCGTCATTTTACGGTTCTCAAGAATTAAAAAATTATTATCAGCAACACATCGCGGCAAAATCAAAAAATCGGACTACTTCTACAACTAATCTGGATGAATTAGAATTTAAAAAATTTCTCGACAGTCCTCCTCAAGAAAATGAAAACGCAATTGAGTTTTGGACCGAGAAAAAAAAATCTGCACCAGTTTTATCATCGATAGCCTTACAACACCTCACGATTCCTGCAGGTTCTGTCCCGTGTGAAAGACTTTTTTCTATTGCTAGTCATATTGGAAATGCTATCAGAAATCGATTAAGTGCTGACCATTTAGAGCAAATATTGTTCCTTAAATCCCTACCAACAACAGAATGGCATTTCTAATAAGAAAAACTTAACTTTACTTTCTTTTAATAATTTTATTTTTTTTTAAACTAGAAAAAAATATTTATATATTTATTAAGATAAATATACATTTAACTAATAATACTTTTTATTTGATTAATATTTAATAGTAGTATTAATATTTAATTAAATCAATTTAATTAATAATTAATTAACTCATTTAAATATTAGAAAGCATTTAGTAAAAAAATTATAATTTACTGTTATTAAGTGCAATAAAATATTATATTCAATCTAGAAGAAACGTCTATTTTAATAATTGAAAATGTATTAGTATAAGCCATATTAATTTTTAAATTAGTTCATTATAATGATATGAAATTCTTTAAATTTGAAAATTACGCCTTCATTCAATCGATAGTGCATGGTAATCCTCCGATAGATGGGAAACTACAGTTAGAAAAATACATTTCACAGCTTGCATCTACACCCGCCAGGGTGCGCTGGAATTATTTTTACATAAACTGTAGCTTCAAGGGAATAGTTTGCTATAAAAATGCAGCCAACGTGAGATTTAAATTTGTACTAATAGTAAATTTTTATTAAAATTACAAAAAATACTAAAATCCGAACAAAAACAGTTTCACTGTGTAACAAAAATTACGCTCCAGCTAACAGTGGAGCGGTCAGTGGAGACGTAATATTGTCCAGGTCGCCCAATACAAAACTAAACAAACAAAAAAATGGACTTGGGAGGGAACTCTTCGCCTCCCAAGCAACCAGCAGCTCTTCCTCAGGCTGGGTTAGTGCACGATTTTCTTGGACGCCAGTTGTTCTTTCGCTTGGGAAACAACAAACCCTTTAATTCCAGGGCCGATCCACAGGTACTCAAGGGGATAGATAACGAGCGTACAAATATCAGGAAAGAAAGGAGAAAGAAATTCATAAAAGCAAATTCTTAATAATCAGTCGCAATATATATAAAAAATAAGCTATTTATTTAAAACACAAAATAATTAAGCTAAGTTCAGAGCCGAATTCCTTTGCCGGGTGAACTATATAAAATAACAATAATAATTAATTTGTCGCGTACAATTATTAATAATTAATATAAATCCTGAGTATGTTATTAAATTGCGACGACGCTGGTTATAAATTAGAATCTTTTATTTTATATCCAAATATTATTGAAGTGAGATATACCCGAAATCCCCAGTCGGGTTATCTCGACAAAACAAAATAAATAAATAATACTGGCTGGCTCGAATAATTAATACCGGCTTCAAATACTAATCTGTTCGCCGGGAGACAGCACGGTGCGTGGTTAATAAAATGGCTCAACTTGTGAGTACTCACCAAAAAAGGGAACTCGATCAAAGGTGCCAGATCCACACTCTTACACTCTGCGGGTTGCCGCGTGTCTCCCGATCTATGTCACCGTAAAAACGTTCGAGGCCTCGTGTTCGACCACGAGGGCCTCTTTAGCCATTTTCCCCAAATTTAATAAACCTTTAGCTCGCGATCGATAATACAGGACTTCACCCGTGCGAGTAAAGGCTACGATAATAACCAGGTACTATAACTATGATTTACGGCGATACATACAATAATAATAATGATAATAATGAATTACAAATAATTCATTGTAAATATCTGAAACAAATGTAAAATTAATTCTTAAATTACTAATAATCATAATATACAACCTTTCAAATATAATAATGATAATTGCGCGGTTTTGTGATAAATAATCTGAAATTAATGAAATTCATATTGTAAATTATACTACTGCTTTGATTTAATGATAAATTATAAATATATTACAATACAATATTAATAGAGATAGAAAATATGAAAATAATCAATACAAAAAAAAAGTTATTATTTCCAAATTATTGCCCAAGTTTCTATTATTAAGTAGTTATTTAATAATTTTATTTAATCTAAAAATGACAAAAAATATTCACGTTTGCGAAGCTGTAAAAAGTTGGCTTACTCTCGAAGTCACTGTACGCATCATATAATCGTTGTTGAATGACCGAATTAAAATTGTAATAAATACAATTTGGATAACGAATGTATCTCCTGAAATACTACAATGATGGTCCACAATCCGCAAATTCACAGTTTTTCTCACACAAAACGATGCATGAAAACGACTGCAAATATTTTTAATGACATTATCAACGTACACACAACGATATTTAACTTAAATATATGATGTCGCTCCAGCGCAAGTGAGACATTGTAAAATACGCGAGTGCTAAAAGATTATCATTATAAACTTACATGGTTATTCATTATTGCTGAAAATGATCATCATCATCATCATCATCATCATCACCATCATCACACCATCATCATCACCATCATCATCATCATCATCATCATCACCATCATCACACCATCATCATCACCATCATCATCATCATCATCATCATCACCATCATCACACCATCATCATCACCATCATCATCATCATCATCATCATCACCATCATCACACCATCATCATCACCATCATCATCATCATCATCATCATCACCATCATCACACCATCATCATCACCATCATCATCATCATCATCATCATCACCATCATCACACCATCATCATCACCATCATCATCATCATCATCATCATCACCATCATCACACCATCATCATCACCATCATCATCATCATCATCATCATCACCATCATCACACCATCATCATCACCATCATCATCATCATCATCATCATCACCATCATCACACCATCATCATCACCATCATCATCATCATCATCATCATCACCATCATCACACCATCATCATCACCATCATCATCATCATCATCATCATCACCATCATCACACCATCATCATCACCATCATCATCATCATCATCATCATCACCATCATCACACCATCATCATCACCATCATCATCATCATCATCATCATCACCATCATCACACCATCATCATCACCATCATCATCATCATCATCATCATCACCATCATCACACCATCATCATCACCATCATCATCATCATCATCATCATCATCACCATCATCACACCATCATCATCACCATCATCATCATCATCATCATCATCACCATCATCACACCATCATCATCACCATCATCATCATCATCATCATCATCACCATCATCACACCATCATCATCACCATCATCATCATCATCATCATCATCACCATCATCACACCATCATCATCACCATCATCATCATCATCATCATCATCACCATCATCACACCATCATCATCACCATCATCATCATCATCATCATCATCACCATCATCACACCATCATCATCACCATCATCATCATCATCATCATCATCACCATCATCACACCATCATCATCACCATCATCATCATCATCATCATCATCACCATCATCACACCATCATCATCACCATCATCATCATCATCATCATCATCACCATCATCACACCATCATCATCACCATCATCATCATCATCATCATCATCACCATCATCACACCATCATCATCACCATCATCATCATCATCATCATCATCACCATCATCACACCATCATCATCACCATCATCATCATCATCATCATCATCACCATCATCACACCATCATCATCACCATCATCATCATCATCATCATCATCACCATCATCACACCATCATCATCACCATCATCATCATCATCATCATCATCACCATCATCACACCATCATCATCACCATCATCATCATCATCATCATCATCATCACCATCATCACACCATCATCATCACCATCATCATCATCATCATCATCATCACCATCATCACACCATCATCATCACCATCATCATCATCATCATCATCATCACCATCATCACACCATCATCATCACCATCATCATCATCATCATCATCATCACCATCATCACACCATCATCATCACCATCATCATCATCATCATCATCATCACCATCATCACACCATCATCATCACCATCATCATCATCATCATCATCATCACCATCATCACACCATCATCATCACCATCATCATCATCATCATCATCATCACCATCATCACACCATCATCATCACCATCATCATCATCATCATCATCATCACCATCATCACACCATCATCATCACCATCATCATCATCATCATCATCATCACCATAGGGTCAACCGTTTTCCTAATTTTTTTCATTAGCTTAACAAATAAACAATAATAATAATTATTATTATAATAATAATAATTATTATAATAATAATAATAATAATAATAATAATACTTCAGCTTAACTTAATATGGATTAATAATATAAAAAAAAGTTTGGAAAATCCAAATGAGCATGCCTTAAGCGTTCATGTCATACAAAAATTATTTAGATCGTAACAAAAATTATTCGTTTTTGATTTGAATTTTCCCGGGAGTAGTATTATCCCCTCTGTAGGTCGAACTAAAGAAAAATTTTAACAGATGATAAAACAGTTAGTAATTATACCATCATGTATGTATAGTTTCTGCTTGTTTATAGTTATTTCAATTCTGTTTATCAAAAATAATACATATGGCTGCCGAAATCGCAGAAAAAGTCACCGAACTGACAATCGAAAAAAATTAACTGTATCGAAACGGAATTATTTTGACACGCAATTTTCACAAGGGTTTTGATAAACTTCCTCAGGAATAAAACAAAAAAAAATTAAATCGTGAAAGTGATTTTTGACTAAGTTGTGGTGTTGTCAAGCCCATAGCTCCCGTGAATACCACGCTCTTATCCATTTAATTCATCAGAAATACGAGTTTTTTCTGAGAAATCTTATTTAATCGATAAGAAAATTTTTTTAACGTGTTCTATAGTTACTATTATTTATTTCAATATGCTTTTTATCTATAATTTTTTTCGTTTAAATTATGAAAATCACGTTTTAATCGAAATCACGATTTTTAGGCGAGAGTAGAGGCGCACTTTGTGCTTAAGGCATGCAAAATATTAGTTATAAAATCAGTCACAATACTAATTATAATAATGATAAAATTATTAGAATAGTGATAAAATAATCATAATAATTATTATTAAAATATTCATCGTCATCATTTTCAACATCTGAACTAAAAAATTTAGATGTTGAAAATGATGATAGTGTCCCGTCTTTTAATCTCATCGATGATGGTAAACGCCCTTCTGATCCCATTGGTGATG